TACTACAATTATAATGATTATATTGTTGTTTTTAAATAATCAATATTTTACATTGAAATATTACAATATGAATTACTTGTTTAGTTTATTATTATTAATTCTTATTTTTGATTGTTTCTTTATATAGGATTATTTTCTTATGACTATTTTTCTATATTTTTCATATGCTGCCCTGTGAAACACTTTTGAGCTACATTTTATTTATAATTATTCATTTATAATGCACTTTTAAATATTCTATATTTTACAGTGAATTATTACAATATGAATTTCTTAAGATTAATTTTCATATACCAACCTGTGAAACACTAAGCTGCATTTTATTGTACTATACAAATACAATTATTTTGAACATAATAATAATATTGATTATTATTATTATTATTAACCACAAGCATCATCATCATCATATATCTAATCATATTTTATATTATCATATAAATTTTAGGCTAAATTGTGCAGCCCTACAAACAAGGCTGTTTTTTTTTGGCACAGATTTCAGTGAGCAACTTAAATTTTACTCTGCTTCTCATATAAAGTGATCATGTGACACTGAAGACAAGTCATGTAAACTACTCTTTTTGGTCATTTTTAAAGCTGAAAGTCAACCAAAGTCCCCATTTATTTTCATTACACGGATAAAAGCAGATCCGTCTAAAACATCCTTTTGTTGTTCCACAGAGGAAGAAGTGATTCAACAAAGCAACAAATGACAGTTATTATCTTCCTCTCGAGCAACTCCAGATTTCCTAAATGATTCAGTCTCACATCGCAGCTGCTTCCCGTTTGTTTGCACTGAATCAGAGATGTTACGGCAGCCTGGAGCTGATGGGTCAGAGGACTTGACCTTTGACCTATGCCTAAATCAGGGTCACATGATCTCGACTGTTCATTTGCTGATCAGAACCGTCAGTCCATCCAATAAATGCATTAATAACTCGCTTGCGAATGCAGATCTGGATTATTTTATCATCTTTGATGGACGCTGATGAGAAACAGTCTAAATTAATTTTGTACGAATCTAATACACATTAATTTTCAAATAATATTCCAATTTTTCTGAAATGGCACAATATAATTACATTTTTATTCATTTGTGAAATATGTATTCATCAAGTTTCTAATCATTTTAGAAATTTGATGCCATTTAATAACTCTTACTGTCTTTAACTAAGAGAATATATCTTTTAAAAAAAACTCTTTTTGAAATGGAAAACACACAGAATGTTTAATTACATATAAATTATTTTCTGAATTTAACAGTCTTGTCAAATACAGGCAGACAAAGTGTGTGCTGACTAGTATCTGGGTTTATTTTCTATAAATTATAGACTAAACCAGATATAAATATGCATTATTTTCCTTCTTTCTTGGTACACAAAAGCAGAATCTCCACATTGATGAGTTCCGCAAAGCACTATAAAAGCATCAAAGTGTTATTAATGTATTAAAAAAGTATTTTTGGTTTGTTTCTCACACAAATCTTTCACGTTAGAAGTGTCCTGTCCTTTAGGATCTTGACAGACCAAGCTCACTACACTATATCACATACACTATATATATTTGGAGAAGTTCAACTTGGAAATTCAGCTTATGTGCTTGACTGAACAAATCAGTCAACAAACACTAACCAAACAATCCTCCTTGGTTTGCAATTCACATTCAATAACTGTCTAAACTAGAACGAGTAGAAGAAAATGACAGTCCTCCAAAAAAATCTCTGTCAATATTAACTCAGAAACAAGACAGAGAGAACGAGACAGAGAGAGAGAGAGAGAATAGGAGGAAGACAGACACACATTCAGACAGACATGAATCTCAAGTAGTTTTGTGTAGAGCGTCTTTGTTCCGGATCCGATGACAGCGAGCATCTCTCATTCTCGTACTCTGTGTTTTCTTCACGTCTTTTTGGCAGCACATTTATCATTCCTCCACACAAACAATTGTGCTGCAAAACCCACGAGCGCAGGCGATACAAAGGACGGCTGGATCAGGGGCCTCAAATCAGACGGCCGTGCCGGTTGCTAGGTTACCTTTGATCTTTTTCAACAACTCAACAAGTTTGACGCTTTCAGAAGTCTCCGAGGAAGGCATGATAAAACTTCTGCAATTAGAGTAGTCTTGACATCTCAGTTCTTTTCAAGTGTGAAGTTGTTAAAATAATACCACATTTGTTTAATAAATAATATAATAATAAATACTGTTAAATATTATTTTAGTTATTAATGATACTCAATAATAATACTAATAATATGAATAATATTACTAATAATTAATATTAATAATGTAATATTTTAATTATAAATTTTTTTAATATTAATATTTGTTAATACTATTCTATGATCTAATATATACTATTAATAATAATAATAATAATGATATATATTATATGACTATCCCAGGGTTGTTAGTTAACTAAACTAAAACTGAAACTAAAACCATAAAAGAAACATTTTTGTTACTTGAAATAAAATAAATAAAATTAAATAAAATATAAAAACAAAACTTTTTTATTTCCCCTGTTTAATTGATATAAAAATAAAAAATTAAAATGACAAAAAATATATAAACATGAAAAAACTACCTAAAACGACAAAACACAACAAAATTAAAAATGTTTATCAAATTAAAAAACTTTAAAATAAAATAAGTTATAAAAATAAAAATATTCAAAATATAAATAAAATTATAACAGTATCTCACTAATACTAAAATAACACAGGAATTTACCCCTAGATCTAATATAATAATAATAATAATTATTATTATTATATTTAAATAAAACAAAATATATAATAATAATAATAATAATAATAGACAGTAATAATGTACCATTTTAAAGGAAACTTGTTCTCATTTTTTTTTAAATGCTGTTAACATTTTATAATAGCAATAAGGAAATTGAGATTGTGCTGTATTGTCAATATAGTTCACTGCATGTCGTACTTCATGCCTTTGTCACAAGTCATGACTACATTCACAATATAGCATAATATACTGTACATAACTGAATAAAAATGAAATTCTCCCAACTAAAGATCTAGTTACTATGAGACGTATCCTCAAGATCTTTCATGCAAAACTGAAACACCATCTAAAACAGACAGCAAGACTCTGATTCAGGACTGCTGACACTATTAGAAAATAATGGCTATGAACTATTTGCTTGTTCATCTGAAAACCAGGGAAAATGCATTAAATGATGACGGTTTCAGCGATCTGTCCAAATTTCCAAGAGCCGATGCAACACTTTCCACAGAATGGAAACGGTAGTTTGTGTACACGTGAGACGGCTGACAGCCTTCAATCACTAACAGAGACGTCAGCGTGACTGACAACTTCATCTGCCATCCGGCTGAAGCTGTGAAAGTCTGACATCAAGAGCCACTCTGCACTTTTACGAGAGACACTAAAATCAGCATGTTTGAGAAGCACTTTGCTCCAAATCAAAATGATGCATCACATTATTTTCATGGATATTAAATATTCATCAGTGTGCTTGATTGTTTAAGTCAGTCAAATTTTCCAATGCCTTTGCATAAAAAACAAAAAGCAACCCACAGGACTATAAGCATTCTGCTGAGCATGAAGAAAAATCTTATGCCAAAAACAAATTCTACATAAGTACGCAAATGCAGACGTTGACACTTGATCCAAGGCTGCATGATATATCAGAATAAAAACGATGCCATGATATGGCTTAATGCAATCAAAGGCTACAATTTAATTAAAAAAAATATATGAGCTGCATGTTTCAGTGAAGTGCAGCATTGTGTTCATTTACACATGAGCAGCTCATGATAGTGTTTCAGCATCTTAGTTTAAAGTTTAAAAAGGAAGAAATTCAAAAATAACAATTTTATTAGATGATAAATATATATTGATATATATTCTAAATATATTTTGTTTAACATTTTTATTTAATAAATTACAATTAAAAAAATCATAAAAATCAAATTGTTCAACCCTGAAAGAATGGTTTATTTCACCTGTTTTATTTGATATAAAAGAAAAAGAATAAAAAATATAAACATATGAAAGCACGACTTAAAATGACAAAACTAACTAAAAAATAACTTTTAACTAAAATTAAAATAAAACAGAAAATACAAAAAAATGTTTCACAATATTAATAAGTTTTTTTTATTTTTTTTTATTTAACAAAACTCACAATAAAACAAAATCATAAAACTCAAATGGCTAAAAGTATGGTAAGTTTTTGAATTTTTAGCTTTTTTAAACTATTTTTATTTTCTAAGCAGTTGCCCCCCCTCCCAAAAAAATCACACAAATTATTTTATAATTATTAATTAAATATAACTATTTAACTAAACTGTTGAAAATTCCTGTATGCAAAAAAAAAAAAAAACCTTCTGCATTGTGCTATCTCAGAAAATTAGAATATTATTAAATTAATCAATAATAAGTGAATAATAAAAAATCTGTTTTTTTTTTCCAATATCACTTGCACTGCATTATGAATTGTGGTTCCGAAACATTTCAGAATGCACCAATACTTGCATAGAGAACATTTCAGCCCACAGACTACAGTGCATTGTCAAAAAGGCTCTATTTGTGTTTCAAACTCTTTCAAAACACCCTCCTCTAACCAACACCTTCTGAAGAGTCATCTTTTCCATTCCTTATTGTCTTTTAACTGGCAAAGGCAAGCAGGAAAGAAAGAGAAAAAGAGAAATAAAGAAAGAAAACAGGAATTTGGTGCCAAACAGAAAAACAAGAGAGCAGCCAGCAAGCATCCAGTGTCAGAAAACTCGACTCCGCCAAGATGGAATGCAAATCAGCTTCAATGTGAATGGCAAATGTCTCCGAGGGGCCCTCGGAGAAAAGACCCTTTATATGCCAACGCTTTCCACATGTTCGCCTGAAGACGTAACCCCACATCCTTACTAGCCTGATGATAGGGACTGAGATCATACAGGAGAAGCAGCAGGACGACAGAGGACACATTCAACATATAGATGTGGAAAACAACTACTCACTTGAACGCCATGGCATCGAGCGGCGAATACTGATTCATTAAGAGTCTTTCTGAGGTTCACGTCTCAGGCAGCTGAAGATGGAGCAGAGAGCTCTTCACAGATCTGTGGAGAGGACACAAGGACTTTCACATTAGGAGGAGGAGATATTTGAACTTGCACACACAAAGGCTCAGAATACAATCCTAACATCCTGCTTACTGCACAGCATGTATGTCACACTGCATGCTATTGCACATAAAACAGTATGCAACTCTTTCAAACATTAGTATACTGCATTGTCTCATGAACTCATGTTTAATTCAACAAGTGGTTTCTAGTCATCTTAGAAACATGGTTATTTTGTTATTTAAATGCCATTTGTGTCACATTTTTTGGCAGGCTGATCAAATAATGAGTCTATAAAGAAATAATAAAGAGATTATAATTTAACTTCTGGTTCATTCATCTCACTCGAAATGGAAGGTCAAGTTCAGTGCATTGCATTGTGGGAAACTAGTTATGTAGTCTGAGTGCATTTCATCCACTTCAAATGATTCAGTGAATCAACATTCAGAATGATTCAGTTGGCTTTGCTAACTCGTTTGGCTCTACAGATTCAAATGACTCCCAAAGAGTGATTCAACCTGACTCAAGAGAGCAATTCAACATGACTCACATGAGCAATTAAATCCGAATCCCAAAGAGTGACTCAGCATGACTCCCAAAGGGCAATTCAACCCTACTACCAAAGAGCAATTCAATCCGACTCCGAAAGAGCGATTCACATCACTCCCAAAGAGTGATTCAACCTGACTCAAGAGAGCAATTCAATATGACTCACATGAGCAATTCAATCCGACTCCCAAAGAGCAATTCAATCCGACTACCAAAGAGCAATTCAATCCGACTCCCAAAGAGCGATTCACATCAGAATCCCAAAGAACGATTCAACAAGACTCCCATGAGTGATTCAAATCCAACTCCCAAACAGCGATTCAAATCTGATTATCAGGAGTGATTCAACCTGACACCCAAAGAGCAATTCAACTGGACTCACAAGAGAAAATTAATTAACATGACTCCCGAAGAGTGACCAGCTTACAAGAGCAATTCAATCCAACTCACAAGAACGATTCAAACCGACCCCCAAAGAGAGATTCAACAAGACTCCCAAAGAGCAATTTAACCCGACACCCAAGGAATCGCTTAAATCCGAGTCTCAAAGAACAATTCAAATCCAAGTCCCAAAGAGCGATTCAAATCTGACTATCATGAGCGATTCAACATGACTCCCAAAGAGTGATTCATACTGACTTAATTCGACTCACAAGAGCAATTCAAACCGGCTCCCAAAGCAATACAACCCGACTCACAAGAGCAATTCATTTTGTACTATAAATTACATTTATTTACTGAATACTTCACAGCACAACACTATTCTCGCAACATATTTTGTATTACACTTATTTAACCACTCACAAGAGTAATTCATGAATCAGCCATCACTAATTCAGATTCAACACAGCCGAACAGACACCCATGAGACCCAAAACTTGATTGCTGAAATATTGCCAGTGAAAAATAACATTGTGTTCGCCAATATTAACCTGCTTTTAACAAATATAATAGCCTTTGTACTAAAAAGCAGCAAGCAGTTACACTGAGAAATGTAGCTAAACAGATCCCTTTGTAGACCAATATTTACAAGTACTATTTATAGCAACAACAATTAATATTGTATTATGGTAGATATTGTGATTATCACGGTAAATGTTCAATAGAACAGATTTAGAACTGCTATGAGTTCTCCAGCTGTTCTTGCTAACAAAAGGTGCTCGGAGCGAGCGACACAAGGCCGATACACACAACCACGGCTGACTCACTCTCAATTAGCCTCAGCTGAAGGACAGAGGGGTTTCCGCCAGCTTGGTGGGGGATTCCGTCGCCATGGTGACGGCGGAACCCCGGAGAACGAATAGAACACGTTCAGGAATCCAGAGAGAACAGGAAAATCCGATCTCATTAACGACAGGAATATTAGGCACATTCACCAGCACAACGGGACAAGCATTTCATTAGCGAAATATAGATTAATAGACACCCCAATGCAAAGAAAACGAACAGAAAAAAAAAAAACTGTTAAATAAATCGGTGGTGCTAAAAATAGAGCGATATCTTACAACACACAACCACGGCTGACTCACTCTCAATTAGCCTCAGCTGAAGGACAGAGGGGTTTCCGCCAGCTTGGTGGGGGATTCCGTCGCCATGGTGACGGCGGAACCCCGGAGAACGAATAGAACACGTTCAGGAATCCAGAGAGAACAGGAAAATCCGATCTCATTAACGACAAGAATATTAGGCACATTCACCAGCACAACGGGACAAGCATTTCATTAGCGAAATATAGATTAATAGACACCCAAATGCAAAGAAACCGAACAGAAAAAAAAAAACTGTTAAATAAATCGGTGGTGCTAAAAATAGAGCGATATCTTACAGGGCTTATATATGTGTTTTTCCCCCTCATATCATTATATTGGAACAGATATGAGCGCAACAGGATGATTTTACAAAACAGATTAAAACTACAGCATGCTGTCAGCTTCATAACTTATTCAGTATATCAATATCAAGCCAATAAAAGAGACCAAATACACCAGGTACAGGAAGAAAACTAGATCATTACACTACCATTTAAAAGTTTGGCGATTTCTTAATATTTTTGAAAGAAGTCTCTTCATTTAGTTGATCAAAAATAGAGTATAAAGAATTTAAATTATTATTACTAATTAAATAACTATTTTCTATGTGAATATATTTTAAAATCTAATTTATTACTGTGAATTTTCAGCATCATTACTCCATTCTTCAGTGTCACATGATCCTTCTCAAAATCTTGCTCAAGAAACATTTCTGATTACTATCAATGTTAAAGCTAGCACTGCTTCATATTTTTGTGGAAACTGTGATGCATTTTATCTTTCAGGATGCTCTGATGAGTAGAAAGTTCAAAAGAACAGTTTATATTTGAAATTGTGAGGGTCGTAACATTTCCGTCTCACGCTTGAGGTATTCGGCTAATCACAACGCACTGGATAGCTGGCTAATCAGAGCACACCTCGCTTTTCAGACTGATGAGCTTTGTAAAAATCGACGCGTTTCAAAAAGGCGGGGCATAGAGGAGAAACAATAATGTACAGTATGTGGAAAATAATGTGTTTTTTTAACTTTAAACCGCATAAACACATTTCATTACACCAAATACACAAAATAATGTTCTTTTTAGCAGCATCATATGACCCCTTTAAAGCTAGCACTGCTTCATATTTTTGTGGAAACTGTGATGCATTTTATCTTTCAGGATGCTCTGATGAGTAGAAAGTTCAAAAGAACAGTTTATATTTGAAATAGAAATCTTTTGTCACATTATAAATGTCACTTTTGATCAATTTAATGCATCCTTGCTGAAAAAAAAATGGATTTCTTTAAATAAATAAAAAGTAGCGCATATATTCTGAAGAACGTTTGTGTGATTTTATTAACCAGCATATGAAAAATCAGAACTCTGATCAACAAATACCACTAATAAAAAGCCACTAATTAATTGCATCACTTTGTCTAATTGGTTTTTAATTGGTTCTTGGCGGCTCTAGAGGACGCATCTCAGTGTTTTGATGTGCTTTTGTCTCCAGACCGCCTTGAGGCTCGAGTCTGAGACATCGCTGAAGTCCTCTGGGAGACAAACGTATAGCAGGCGTCTGGCCCACTTCTCCTCATTAGGGTTTATGCCTGTCTGCACTCTGAAACCAACAACACAACCACACATGATGCTAAATATCATGCCATAAGTCACATCAAGTCACGCTTTAACATACAGGTACAAAGAATGACCATCAGGGATTAATTGAGACATTTTGACAATTATGCATGCATAGCAGCATTACTGCTCATTTGCATGTGTCAAACATCTCCGCTTTGAACCACTGGATTGGAAACAACGCTGGATTTCCATACAGACCCAGATTCCTTCTCACCTCAGAACAATGGCAGCTAATTATCCATTATCCGTTCATTGATCCCTGCAGGGCTCTCCAAGAATGCAACGGGCCACTAAATGTCAAATGCTTCTTTTTCCTTCAATACACTGCTTCAAGGAATGAGGAGACGCTCGGAATGGAACATTTACAACACGCCAACGTTCCAGTTCTGTGGGTTTCCACAATATGGCCAACGACCCAATTGTTATATTTCCAAAAGTTTCCAATGTGGGTTATGAAATTCCTCAGCGATTCCAAGAACCTGAGGTGCTTCGACTGGGATATAAATCTGCAAGCAGACAGAAAACACAAGCCATAATCAAATTCTCCCAATACATCCCATATGAATCACAAAGGTATTCATTTACCAGGCGCCATTATATTATTCACGTCTAAAACTTGAGTTTAAATTCCATTAGGAAAAGGTTGCAACCAGGGTTTCTACAAAAAAGCAATTTGCAAACACTTAAGAAGTGTATAAACTCCATCTAAACAAAACATTCATAAATCATTTAACCTCCTTAAAGTGATATTTTATGAGTGGACGAGAATATTAAGTTTGATTTTATTCATTAGGATTTGATTGCATCTTGAATGCTTGACCATGAAATTATTATTGCGGTTTGCAACAATAAGAATGACTATTATGTGTGCAAATCTCTAACCCTAAGTATTAAAGTTCGGTGTGTGCTTTGATTCCTCAAATCAGATGTTTTGATTAGGGTTTTCCATATCAACAGTGCAAACACACACATGCTGCATCTACGATCACTGTGCACTTTGAAGTCGGACAGATTGGGTCTCGAACGGCACACGTCTGTGCTTTGATCTCGACCTTCACACACAAACTCTCAACTGAAGGGAGAAAACGCTGATTACAGTGGAGGTTTAAATATGCATTTGATCACAGCTGAAGGAAACGTATGGGAATGTGCCGCAGCCACAATAAACTACATCCTACTACATCTAACAGGAGGATTTCACAGACAATACAAGACTGGATCTTCATATTTTCTGGTGTTTTTTTGTGCAATGCTTGCTTGATTTTAGGGTGTTGCAGGTGCTTGCTTTTCAGGTGCTAAG